GTTTTGAAGAGCAATTCATATAACCGCATTTGTGTACAAATAGGTACCTTATGTATTCAGCAAGTTGCTTAATACTGAATGGCTTTTTTGTTAAGCCAGACACGGATCCTGGATTTATACCAGCCATAGTAGATAGGCAATATAAATGTTACATATATTTGTGTGTAAAAATTGTAGTAATTATTTGTACTAGAAGCAAATATAAAGTTTAATAATAATAGTTTGCATAAAAAAAGTGTAATGGTTGTATCTATTATGCTTAGAAAGATGTGTTGTTCACTGTGCAGAAAAGAATATTATTTTGTCATCTAGAATCAGATATACTTAATATAACAATAATATCTTTGTCTCCTATGTACATGAAACCGGTAAAAATAAAGTGTGAGACAACTTTCACATGGTTGAATATCATTGATGTTAATCAATAATTACTGCTTCTGTATTTGATCAGTTGGAGCTGATTAATGCTGTATAATTTATAATAATTTCTTTATTATTTAACATATGAAAAGGCAGATATAAGAAAATGCTCACAGAAATATGTAAATACAGTTTATTGACATTGAAGGCATAGTCTTATCTCATATCTCTTATTATTAAAAATGTCCTTTTAATTCCTATATAATATAGAAAAAAATAATATATTGATAAGAATTATTATTTAGTTAAGACACCTTTACAATTGTCATTAACTTCTTTTCAGATGGATCTCTTAGAACAAATCTGTATGCCCTGCAGACTAAAAGCTTGCAGAGACAAAAAGTGTATGGATATTGAAGAGAACAGTCTTATATCATATCTCTTATAATTGAAAATGCCTTCTGATTGCTTACAATATCATAAATGTACATGTTACCATCAAGTTATTTTCAAAAAACCTTCAGAAATATATCTAACACTGAAATGTTTCTACCTATGTACGTTATAAACAAAACATAAGAAACCATCGAACCAATTTCAATGAAAATGTTTGTGTGTGTTTGAATGGATCCCTAGATGGTTTATATTTACATTTGGACCCGGTAGATGGCACTGTTGTCGAGATCCACAAACCACCAGTCCCACAGCTGAGGCGCATCGCTAGCAATAAATAGTAAATACATTTAAATTAAGCCTGTGTTTTTGTAATCCTTATACAAACAGTTTACCTCACTATTTATCATTGTGTAATAACATAGGTAAGGCATGTTAATTCCTATTCATTTTATTATGATGTATACTACTTACTAATCAACCAAAACATATTAAAACAATGTCTTGACACGGCTCCTGTCCATATGTCAGTCAATCATCAAAGTTCAAAAAATTTATTAAATTAAGTTTGTATAAAAGGGGTTATTATAGTATAAAGGAATTTATAGCTGACAATAACCCATACACGACATAATTTGTTCTGTGTTGTTAATTATGACATACATGATTGTAAGCTGGCTTTTTTTAAAAGACCCACTGGGTATTTTGCTGGTTCTCTTCAAGTCAGAGGTTTTTTCCGAACCAGTGGTAAATTAAAAAACTGACTTTCAATAAGTATTATTTATAATCTAAATTAAATAAAAGGTTTCTGTTTCTGTACCTACTACTGTTAATTGAATACTTAAATAAATTATGATTTACAATAATAAATAGAGTTACCTACATTATATTTTGTTTTTTGTAATACAACCAGTTTAAAACATTTCTTACTGTGTGTTGGTAATATCATAAATATAAATAGATATTATCCCTTAGCCATCTTGGTATTTAGAATTACACTCACAATCAATCAATACATGTCAAAAATAGAATCCATACGACGTTTGTGCATAGACAGGCACTATGTTTTGCCGGAACTAGTGAAAGGTTTTACATCGATTTTAGATTAGATTTAGATAAGATGTGAGATTACAGCTTAGTTTCATATGTGCTATTATTCAAGTGTGCACTATTTTAACTTATAATACCGATGAATACTACTAGAAAATCGCTTTCAGTTTGTTTTTAGGTTATTGTTAGATTCTATATTACATTTTATTTGTTAATTTCTCAGGACTCCGTTTTGATGCAGTAAAACTAATAATTTTATTGTAATCTATGGATTATAAGGAATAAATCGACATGCATTTCATTGATAATCTTTAAAATTTGTAGTGGGCCCATTCTCCATAGAAAAATTGATTGTCTCCTTTATTTAATTCATGAAAATTTATTTTATCTTATATTTTTACATATTATTGCAATACAAAAGTAAAACTATTAATAATTTTAAATTTGGCTTAATTACTTTTACCTAGTCTACAAGAATTATTTAAACAATAATTTCAACATTGCGTGTGTTATTATTATTTTCTAGTCACCAGCAGATATCAAACACGTCTTCATAAGCGATGCTGTGTTTTCTGACTTTTCTAATAGACACATAATATAAACGTTTTACACAACAATAAAACGATTATTATGTGCCGAAAGAAAACACAGCATCGCAGGAATGCTCTTACTGGTGAAGACTGCAATGACACCAACAGGCACAAAACACTAATATAACAGGGCGACTCCCTCCTTGCGGTGACAGTTATAAACAACAATAAAATTCTCATGAGTTGAGGGTATATATGGATTGATTTACAATAGACGGTAGTATCAATAAAAAAAGGTGAGCGCACACTGCTTCTTCATAAGCGATGCTGTGTTTTCTGATAGACACATAATCTACAAATTAGAGCTCCCAAATCATGTCTTTCAGAGTTTTGGCCTTAACATGCATCGGGAGAATGATTATTACTTATTAAATAAATAAATTATCTAATATTTGCCTTATTGTAGTAGACAAAACGAACTATTTTTACCAAGTAATTGTTATTTCAAGCAACGAACGGAAAACATGTAATTTCAAAGAAGAAACCTTGTAATTTCGCGTTTTTTGTGATACTCCTCTTAATTTGAATTTCTTTTGAAAATCTTACCCCATAGTACCCGAAACAAAAAACGAGTTGTCCCCCACCGGGTACTAGAGGATACAACATGTCATATGTCATAAAATGCCCTCTTGTCTACAAAAATAATTTCATAGAGTCCATCCCTATAAACCTATTCAACGAAATAAAGGGTTGGTAGTACTACTCACGCAAAAGGTAAACAAAAAAAGACAAACTAGACAATTTGCGATAATAATACTGTATACATAATACATAATATGATAACAATCTGTGAACAAGTTTAAACATTGCGCTATTGTTAGAAAGGTAATTTAAGCTAGTTTATTTAAATATTATTAAAATGGAAATAAAGTTAAGGGTTTTTAACAAATAAATATTTTTATAGAGAAATGTCAATTTTAGTGTATTTTTAAATTAATATAACAACTGTAGTTTGCGAACGACAGTTGTTTTTACCAAGTGGTCAAATAACATTTTATTAGCCGCGCGGTCGCTGGCGGTTTTGACCGAAAATTGGCGGCGCCGGTCTGACTCTTGAGTGGATAATTATCATCGAGAACCAAGATCAATTACAAATGAGCATTATTAGCGCTGTTTGGCACATCTGAATACTTTTATCCGAAAATTGCTTTTATTAAATTAAAAATACACTTTTTAATAATTTTTTTGTCAGTGAACGTAAGCAAAACAAAGTATTATAATATTGAAACAAACTCATACATTGAAACTCTATTACTGATTAGCTTATAGCATGTCTATTTAATTACAACTCGTGACGCAATATCACAGATGACATTATTTACCGTTAGGTTTTCCTTTCAATTGTTCATCATAGAAATACTTAACATTTATTATATATGATGCCATTGCGCTCGTCAATTATAGCAGGGGCGTTTTATGTAATACATAATTTGCAATACAAGTTATTAATGAGTAATAAAATAGTGACGGTGTTCGAACTATACGACTCGACTACCACCAGCGATTTTTCCGGACGGATACGATTTAGAGACCTTCAAGAAAAGAGACTACCCTTTTTAAAAGATCGACAACGCATATGCATTTCCCCTGGTGTTGCAGTTGATCATGGGCGGCGGTAGTCACTTACCATCAGGTGAGCCGCATGATCGTTTGCCCCCTCTCCTAAAAAAAAATGCAGCGCAATTGCGAAGCCACTATTACTGCAGCTCAACTGAGGATTTGATTCTATTTTTTCGGATAATTTAATAATAATAAAAATATCCGCTGTATTTTCCTGGCTCTCTCCAAAGCCGCGGACATACGTAAAAACGCGGACAGTCACTAGTTATCCTACTGTCGCTATTATTACTTGATTGCAGCATGAATGAGTCGAATCTACCGAGGAAGTATCTCGCTCTCACAAAATACTAACGTCGAATAGTAGTTTAATGCTGCTGAATTTCTTATGGTAAGTGAAGAAAACCGGAGACTTTATTGACTGAAAACGAGTATTTCATCTTAGTTCTTAAGGGTAACATAACATCTACATTTTTATTCTTAATCGAGGACAAATGTAGATGTCAATGGGAAATAGAATTAGTTTACCTCCAGGTGGACTGTGTGCTCGTTGGATGCCCTTCTTCTATGAATATATGTGCTTTTGTATTATTGATAATTTCATCAAAATGCATAGTTATTTAGCTATTAACGCTGAAATTCGGACTTTACTTAGTTAATTTGAAAACAAGACATACCTGGTAAAATTCATGAAACAATCGAATAAACCTAAACTTAATTTATCGTAATCCCCCACACTTGTAGACGGCTTAACTTAGTTGTAACCGCACTTCGGTTTTAAGCCAAAACTATACATATAAAACAATATATGATGCGATTGGTTTAAAATTTGGTATACACATGTATATGCAAATTAATGAGTATCAAGTTGTTAGTATTATCGAGAATAAATATTAGTGCTGGTATAAAAATGACCTCACCCTACTCTACCCTTCATTCCGCGAACTTGTTTAATTGCCCTTATACATTAGGCTGAACTTAATTTATTTATGATTTGCTTATTAGTTTATAATATTAACAAAAAAATTATAAAAATCGAAAATTACTCACGTAAACCACCTCCAAAGAGTTGATGTGCATGTCCTATTATTGGGAGACCATTAGATAGAGGCGGTGGTTCATGTTTAGACCTTGAATATCCTTTTAATACATAAAGCCCATAAATAATAAAGATACAAACTATAAATATCATGCTGGCAGAAAATCTAAAACAAAAGCGAGTTAAACTAATGGTTACTTTAGCTAAAAAACTAAATCATTTATAGACTATTTACAGGGTTTACCACCCTGAGTACCGCAAAAAAATATAAAATTATTGCAAAATATTGTTTCGAGCGAACTTCAAACAAAGAAATTGTAGCACAGAAAACATTCCAGAACCAGAGCTTCATAAATCTATCAGTGGTAATTAACAGAATCCAATGGCATGTGAATTTGTGGTTAAATACTCGTAATTGTGCATTAGTTGCTTCAAACACGACTTACTTACTTACTTACTCATCTTCACGCACAATCCCTAACGGGGTAGCCAGAGAGAACAGATCGCCAAGTGTCACGATCCTTACATACCTCTTTCGCTTCTTTTTTCAGGTTCATTAACTTCTTCATACATGCACGTCTAGGTATCCGAGTACTCTTGACCCTCCCCTTTTCGAGCAATTTGCACACATGGTCTTCGAAAGTTAGTCTCGGTCTACCTCGACACCTTTTAATATTTACTTTCGCTCTATATATTTTCTTCACCATTTGGTCTTCACTCATTCGCTCAACGTGCCCAAACCATTGGAGTACGCCCCTATCAATTTTTGTGATAAGGTCATCTTTCAATCCTGCCATATTGCGAATCTCTTCGTTTCGCCTTCGATTTCGCTTTCGATCGGCTCGGCGAAACGAAGAGATTCAAACACGACTGTGTCGCTCAAACCCGTTTTGTGAATATTTATTTACTGCTATGTTTATACATTAATCCATCCAACCATTACAGCCTTTACAAGTTCACTGCAGAACATAGACCTGCTTCACAGATTGCTCTACGTTGCAGGTGGATTGGCAACCGCATTTTGAGTTGTGATCAGGAAGATGCTGCTGCCCATCTTCTGCTGCAGGTTCCCTGCGTCGCCTCTTACATCACATATTATGGTAGTTGGTATTCTTACACCATCAATTGTTAATTTTATACGTGATAGAGCCACACTGCAGCTATATTAGTTGTAGCACGAATGGGTCAGCTCGACCAGGGTAGGATCACGTGCTCACGAAATACTAGCGTAAAGTAGCGACTTAAGGCTGCTTCGTTTCGTATGGCGAGTGTAGGGAATCGGAGACTCTTTTTGCTGCAAACGAAGCATTCAATTTAAATGCCTTTAATTCCTAAACGAGGATAAATTTAAATGACCATGGGCCAACCAAAAGGTGGGCTATGTTCTCGGTTGCACCTTATTCTGTTAAAAAAATACAAGGTTAACGGCCTAAACAATCGCAAACCCAATAATATCCTATTCGTCGCTCGTCACTGCATGCTAGACAAGTAACATAGTTTGCACTTAAAAATGCACATAAAAATACAACAGTACTTTGTCAAAAATACCTTATATATAAATAACTGATATAAAAGTCAAAGTTCCTACACCAGTAACAAATATTATTTTCTGTCAATAATTGCAGTTTTGAAAAAGTAATTTTCAAAGTAACTAAAAATTAAAGTTATTGCAAAAACTTACTCTTTACTTAAGTTTTCTCGAACGTAACTTATAACACGAATGAGATATTTTATTTCTGATGTTGAATTATATATCCATGAACTTGTTGTTTTATTTCGTGTTTTGGCAATGTAAAAAAAGGTTTTCCCCATCTACACCTGCACATGACGCTACGTAATTATAATTGTATCGTCGAAAAAATTATAAGAGGACATTTACCTTAACAAACAAGTTTAAAAGGTTAGCAAAGGACGACCAGTCCTGCGATACCTCTTAACTTAAACTTATACATGTAACTTATATTTTAAAAATAATTTTTTTTAATTCTTAAAAAAATAAAAAAATATTCTAATATAATATAAAAACATGGTCTCAATACTAAGGAGAGAACGATAATTTGTTTGTTATGTTATAATAGTGGAAGATAATCAATTATCCCCTTTCGAATCGTGCTATCGTGTAGTAAAAGGCGACTGTGCGAAATAACAGAAAATCTTTTAGCTTCATATATGATGGTATATTATAACATAATGTTACGAGCTTAAGGTTCGTGACAATAAAAACTGCCGATTGAATTACCAAAATTAACACTTTATTTCTAGTCTATTTAACGCTAGTGCCAGGTACCAGACATCAACTTAGGCGCGCAACAATAATAATGTCGGTAATAATGACAGGACGCCTTTCCTGACTCTTATCCATGTCTCCCGCTATATAGCAGAGTTGTTTCGGTATGAAGGGTATAGAGAGCCGCTATAATATCAGTTTGCCAGGCATTCCATACTAGTACATAATGAAATGAATGTTTTCTATTCAATATAGATTATTGTGTAATTCTTATTAAGTCATTTTTTTATTTAGCACTGGTTCACAAGAAAACCTCTGTGCTGGGAAGAACCAACAAGAAATCCAGCGGGATTTTTCTAAACATATTTCAAATTACAATAAACGTATTTTGTATGAATTTTTATGGAACCAGCATGGTGGCGACCACCTCATTCCCAGGAATTATTTTCATTTATGTATTCATTTATATTATAATAAACTTTTTTGTACAATTTATATTTAATAAAACATTTAAACTTGTTTATTGACAAATTTTGTACATATTCTGGGATTTTGTTGTAAAAGCGTATGCATTGCCCCATAAATAATTACTAATTCTGTGGAGTCTAGTAACTGGTATTACAAGCTTAGGTTTGTTTTTAGTGTTTTAAGTAAGAACAACTTTATTCTTATGAAAGCTATTTATGTTTTTTTATGTACATACAATAAATTTCCATAAATATATTACGTTGCCAAAGTTATTATCTTTATTTCCTTAAAATTTTCTCTAAGAAACTCTTTACAGTTTAAGTTATAAATCGCCCGTACGGGTCTATTTTTCAAAACAAATATAACTTAAATGTCTGTCGCATTACCTCATAGTAAGATTCCATAAGACATTACGCTACGAAAGCAACCAAAATACACTAATCTAGCTTTCTCAACATTGGTTAGACTTCTAATCTTTCTTACAGCATATGCTGCAGAACTAAGTCTGCCTGCTAATTTATATACATATATGAGGGTCCCATTGAAGCTTCGCGTCAATAGTAATACCAAGAAAAACAGTTGTATCCACAAGACTCAACTCTTCCCCATACAAAAGCACATTGGTATTTGAATGTTTAACATTAGGTATTGTTAATTTAAAACTTTTTGTTCTATTGCAATTTAAGAGCAAATTGTGAGCGTTCAACTAATGTACTAGTACAATGTACAAGTGACAACTTCTTTGTTTAAAGTTGGCTGCAGTGGACATTTAGCATCAGGTGGAATGTAAGTTCACTTGCCACTTTTATAAAAACAGTTTTATAAAAGAAATATGAATGTAGTTATGGTACCGCTGTTGTCATCTGCTATGGGAGTACTATTGTTTATCCCATGCAGGTTTCGGGCCTCGGGGAGTTCCCCATTACCCGGGTAATCCTCACAGCTCATATCTATGAGCCGGTCTTGGGAGCCGTACAATTACGACATTGTCGGTAATCTACGTTGGCGTATTGCGCGCCACCAGGTCGGTGCTACCGGAGGGTCGGCCGTCTCAAAGCCCCGCGAAGTTCCGAGGTAAGGAGTCGACGCAGGGCCAATCTTGCCGACAGGAGTGCGCTCCGGACAGCAGCTGCTCCTGGCCTCCAGTGCTCCTTCCTGGCTCTAGATGAAGGCCTGGTATCCCTAGGCAGAAGTAGGCGTGTCTCGCGCCTCTGGGAAGGGATCTGCCAAAGGGTCAGCAACCTCCAGGTTCCGCGGAGATGCATCTCGACGCGGAGCCGAAGTCAACAGGCGCGCGCTCACCAGCTGCGCACCGGGCCTTCGCAGTTCGCTTCCCAGCGAGTAGGTGAAACGCAGCGTTAGGTGATCTTCATCCCGGGTGGGGTCAGGGGCGTCCTCAAGGCTCTACGCAAGCCAAGTTGGCCCCACAGCACGTGCAACCACTGCGAAGCGACGCGCTGTACTTCTCCCACCCGGGCGGGAGTCGACGACCGGCGGACGAGACCGCTCACTAGCGCGGTCCGGACGAGACTCTGATGAGTTATGGTAGAACCACGCTGAAGCCATTTTATGGATCAGCTCGACCGGGAGGAAACAACGCTTGCACAGTACACCAACTTAAAATAGTTTCATAATGCTACTGTGTTTTGGATGGTGAGTGACCATACAGAAGACTCTGTTTGTAGTTAGTTCTGTAGTCATTATAAGTAGGCAGTAATGACAGTATTTAAAACAAATTAAAATAAAATTTAGTGTATTTGCCTAAGATCTTGGTATTAAAAATAATAAAGCAACTTATCTACTACACAAGTTATAAGAAAAATAAAATAAGATGCACAAATTACAAAAATATCAGTACAATAGACAAAAAATTGGCATTTTTTATTAAAAAAAAACTTAAATATCCAATATCTTGAAAACGGTTAAGTTTGATGTATGGTGTTTCATAGTCGAAACATTCAGTAATGATGCAAACTACAATCCCCTAAAGGATCTAGGTCGACTTAACCTGAAACCCTGTATATATATTTCAATATTTATCCACCATGTTGGCACGAACATTTGATGTTCCCTGGTCACATACAGTAGCAAGGACTTTAAAGCCAGACTCCTTAAATTTTCTTATATTTCTCTTAATCATTAAGAATAATGCAGCTTTTTTTGTACTGCCAGCACAAAATGAATATGATATCGGCTGTTTATATAATTTTTTAGAATACCTCTACTCTAATTTCAGTCCTCCCTACATCACCATTGTCAACTAAACCGTAAAAAAAGTAATCCTGTCATTTTTCCTGTCATAACCAAAATGTGGTGTTAAGGCCATTTCATCAAAAACCAGTGTACACAATTTATCATTGGCTTTCATTTTAGATGCTTGCTTCTTAAGTTGGTAAAATATGTTTTCATTTATACCAGGCTTAATATTGGCCTCAGATACCATCCTGCTTAAGGTGAAAGGTGATTGTTAAAGTATAGTAGTTCACCTTTTTAATACTTGATGGCGCTGTACAAAAATTATATCGCGATGTCGACGTGCAATGCAACTAGACCATAAGGCCACAAGAATATCATTTATTTTCGTGTATTAAACTTCATGTTAATATACCATAGTACATACGTTGTGGAGTGTTTTATTAAATCATCTCATCGTAAGCCACTTTGGCATTCAGTTCAGTGCTAGTCCAAACATTTGGTCCAGTCGAGCCGGATTGTTAATTGGCTATTTTTGAATCCGGGCTTGATTAATTAGGGCAAAAAGATTACTATTGAAAATCTGCTGGCACATGGTGCAAGCAAGATTTGGTAGTATATCCATCAAGAGTGCTATACAGTGTGTACATATCGCGCGAGTGCTCCCGTACCGTACACAAGTTCAGTTCAGTGTGGAGCAGCAGCGCCACACTACATGTAGTGGCGAAAGGAGGACAACACAGCAGCAGTGCCACCACCACGCAGTGGCGAGAGGAGGACAACTTAGAGGTCGGCGTTAATAGCAGCGCCACACACCACGTGATGGCGAGAAGAGGACAACCAAGCAGTTCCCGTGAATGACTTGATGTCATTTAGTACAGTGCGACAATAGTTCGGAAATGTTAAGTGGATGAAGAACAAACTGTGAGTACTTTTAAAGTGTATATTTAATGCAAGCAATTTTGAACTTTATTTCTATTAATTGTTTAACTTTGACCATTATTAAAAATTTCTTTTACTTTAACCATAAAATATTTGTAATTTGTGTGTAGATTTAAGGACTTAGAATAATTGTGTAAAAAACGAGGGAACGGGGAACCTATGCCCAATTTTCACCAAAGTTTAAAGTGCAAAAGACTTAGAATAATTTTGTAATCTTATTGACTTACTTTATTTTGGTTATGTTATTTGTATTAATACTAAAATTATTTAATATGGAGAATCTTATGGCATTACAAGATGAATTATACAGCCGAATGAATAATTCTCAAATTAATTTAAAAAAATGTTCAAAGGACAGAAAAACTAGTACATAATATGTTAAAAATTGAGTAGAAAATTTAGATAAAATATGGTTTGAATTTGTCGAAAACCATAAACAATTGTTCAAAACGATAGATAGTGCAAAGTTAGCGGAAACGGCGTATATTAAACGAGACTTGTACGACATCGTAGAAGAATTTTATTGCAATTATAAAGCAGAGTTGAGTATATTCTTAAATGATAATGATGCCGATAGTCATGTCAATCGGAATTCGAATAATTCCGTTAAGGAGTTTCAAGTTAAATTACCTAAAATTTCTATTCCCAAGTTTTCTGGGAAGTATTCAGAGTGGACAACATTTAGAGACTTGTTTATGTCGCTAGTTCATAAAAACAGTTCGTTAGATAATGTACAAAAGATGTACTATTTAAAAGGACATCTCACGTGCGAAGCAGAGCAACTTGTCCGGCAAGTACCAGTGTCAGATACGAACTACAATCAGTGTTGGGAACAGTTAGAACGTAGGTACAACAACAAAAAGTATCTCGCAAATTGTATTCTTAAACGCCTTTTTGCTTAAAAACGTCTGAACGTAGAATCTTCTACTGGTTTGAAAGATTTGTTAGATACGACTAATGATGCTTTAAGGAATTTAGATAT